AGCGATGAAAAATAATAAAAAAAAAAAAAACGAAATCGTAGGGGGAGAAAAAGAGAGGCGACGAAAAAGAAAAATAAAAAAGAAGAAGAAGTAAGGGAAAAATTAAAGTAAAAAGAAGAAGAATAAAGGGGAAGTAAAATAAAAAAAGAAAAATTTAAAGGCAGCTGGCCTGTCGATATGGCGGAGCTTCCGGTTTTAGGATTCACTAGGTTCTTAAGGAGTTCGCCCTGGAGGGTGCACGGGCATCCCCCCGCGCGCAAAAAAAAATGGTGGCGGGATTACTTAAATCTTAAGTCGAGCTAAGCTTTAGGATTAAGTCGTAAGTTATATCGGAGAATTTATTTAATATACGCATATATATTATAAATATATTATTAATTAATTAATTAATATTATGATTATTACTATGATTATTATTATGATTATTATTACTATGGTTATTATTACTAATTATTACGATGATCATCATTACTATCGATATCGATACACGTTGATGATGATGGTTCTCGCGGCACGATAAAAAGGAAACATCGCACGTCGAGCGCGTCGTTTTCCGCCCACCGGAAACGGAACTGCGTCCTCCGCGGTAGCAGCACGTTGTTTTGGAATGAATTTAAACGAGTTTATCGGAGATCCATCGTATCCAAATCGTTTTTTTATGATGCGAATAGTTCTATATTCGTCCCTGTATTCCAGCAAAAATTGTCGATAGCTTTTGATCCTGGACCAGCTGATTCCATTGGTGAAATTTCAAATGATTTTCGAGGGAATATGCCATCATAGAATAATCCTAGTCAAGAAGAATAATTAAGTTTAGATAATTGAATTATTTTAGATCAGGATCAGATGATCCTGTATTATAGTCATGAGTAAGAAATAAGATGTAATGAAATATCATCATTCCAACTAAGAATTAGCTGGTGCCGATCATGGACCAAGGTTTCCAAGGAATACAGCCTAACAATCTTCCCTCTTACCTCCCATCAATTCGTAATGAACTTACCTTTCCCGAGAGAATCTCTATCAATGTTCTAAACATTCGAGAATTCTCTTTAAACTAACAAGTCGTTCAATTTCATCCTAAAAGAATTCGCATATATATTATATTCGAATCTAAGAATTTTAACCTCGATCTATAATTACTTACTGAACATCTTCCAAGAGTTTTAACTTCACATCCCGACCAATCTACCCGGGTGGTATTTTAAAATCTCGTTCGCCGATTCTATAATACATAATCGATCGTCAACTATCGTTATGGACGACGATCGTTTCGCTCGTACGATATCCATTGGACAGTTCTACATCTTTCCAGTATTTATTCAGAGAGATGAGAATGATGAGAGGGATCGATGGCAAAATGGCACGCTCGACGAGACAGAGAGGAATCTCGCGGAGGCTTCGTGGGCCTCGTTCGCGAATGAAGAATCTATAACGCATACTATATATTACATTGATAAACCATGACATGTGTGCTCCTTTTGGACGTGTGATGCGTAAATCTCGATAAGAGAGGAAGGCATTTTAAAATAACACAAAATAAGGATACCTCGAGGAGAGACCAAGAAAAGGAAAACGCTCGACCAATCCGCGTGTATATGTATTCATATTGTGTATTGGGTATTCGGTGAACCAGACAAAAGAAACGAGACGAGAAATGATAAACTAGAAAAAGAATGGAAATGCCAATTAGAGCATCCGCAGATCTGATTTATTCTTTGAACCAAGTGAAATGGTTTGTAGAAAATTAAAGGGAAAATAAAGCGGATAGCTACTTGCATAACACGTCTAATAGCGTTGATCTTCTATGATTTTAATGTGTGTTCTTGCTACTATCCGACGTAAGTCTGGGCCACAGCCACACGCTGCTTGTACCTGGTGCCGGAAGTGGAGTTTTTGTAGTCTCTGAAAAGATATATTTCGAATCAGTCGAATGATGGACAATTGTTAGTGTTGTTTCGTAGTTATGTTGTAGTTTTTGTTTTTTTTTTCTTTTCTTTTCATTGAAGGTATGCTAGATACATAAGGCAAGAGACGCCATAGTTTCGAAACGGAATCAAAGCGTTTTAAGAAAGATATTCGATGTGCCATAAAGTCCATCAGCAATAGGATCGAATAGGAATACGTGACTTCCCAATGCTGGTTCTCTCCAGCTCTGCGAACGTATTAAGTTCAAGCTGACGGGTATCAGTGCCAAACTATAATTCCTTTATGATTCTTGCGGCCTCTTCACACGAAGACCACTTATCCCTCATTACATAATTATAGCTCTGATCAAAGTATAGATATTTAATTAATTTTAATCAGTCGGTTTCTTGCAATGTAACTTTCGTTTTATAGTATATCGACTTTTCTTTTTTTTAAGATTCGCTGTTTTTTAAGAATCTCAGCCATCTCTCTTGATGCAAAAGCGATTTTATCAATGTTTTCTCATTGCTTTTTAAATTAATTGCTTCCTGTGCTAGTTATGTATTTAGTTCTGAATGCCTCCCCGACTCCTTCTTCATTCGTTAAAGCGTTCCCGCGCTTTTCGTCGTGTCCCCATTTTCTTCGATCGTGGCCAGCCCCGTGAACGATTGTAGCGTCAAAACTGTGCCACGCTCCTTATCATATAATATTTCTAGTAATAAAGCGGTTTCGCGATCGAGTCGCGGATCTTTCTCGTCGTTTTCGCTGTTTTTTCTACCTCCTCTCTTTAGGGATCGATGAAAAGTGAAAGAGAAGATGGGCGGATACCGCGACGAAAAGCTCCCATTGTCACGCAATGGAAAGTCACGTTGGATTTACAAAGATCCGTAGATATTAGAAGAACGGAAAGTATGATAGAGTAAGGCCACTTCCGGCAGCCAAACATAGATAGCGGCGTGCAAGAATTACGATCTGAAACATAATAAAGATAATGAAAGAATATTATTATAATGAAGTGAATTAAATAAGATATGTATGTATATATATATATATACATATATACACAAACAAATATTGTGC